CACACACACACACACACACACACACACACACACACACACACACACACACACACACACACACACACACACACACGCCAGAAGAGGGTGTTGGAGATCCTGAAGCTGTAGTTACAGGAGGCTGTGAACCACCTGACATGGGTACTAGGAAAAAAACTCTGGTCCCCCGGGAGAGCAGCAAACAATCTTAACAGGCTGGGGTTTCTCCAGCCCTGTCCTATATTCAGGGCCAATCCTACGCCTCCCCAAGAGGTTCAAACAGACTTTAATAGTCACAAACGATAACATTTCTCTCCAAAATTTAATGGCACCCCCATCCCAAGACTGCTTATCGCAATGAATGATACCTTTTCTCCCAGGCCCAAACCCCAGGGTCTGCTCTCAGGGACGGGTTAAAGTCTCTGAATTGACCTAAGTCAGGAAACCAAGTTAAATTCCCGGACTCAGCAAGTCTCAAACTTGTTTAATCACGAGACACATCCCCTTCCTCCCCGGTACTTTTTCGGCAGGAAGAATACTTTGTGTTGTGTGTCGTCCTGAAAGACTGCGCCATCTCCATTAGCAAATTAGCTCTCCGGTTGCACAGGCTGCCCAGTCTTCAACAAGTCGCTCACCGTGCGGTCAGCCAGCTCTCCATCATTGGTGGGAATGGGACACGCAGCCTCGGCCACGGCGACGGTGAATCCCTGTTGGCAGCTTGACAAGATGGAGGCAACCTCCTGAGAGAGGACCCGAGCAACCCTTTGGGTGGGGCTGCAGATGTTTCCAGACACCGCTGACCTAATCAGTGCCTTAAGCCATTGATGGACTTGAATGAACTATCAGGAGGCAGGGGCGGGTTATGGGGAGCGGATAACGAGGGAGGCTGCTCAGGGGCTGTATCTTGCCCCATCCTTCCTGCTGCTCTCTTGCAGGCATGAGTTGGACAGCTCTGTTCTACAAGGCCCTCCCTGGTGTGATGGTCCGACTCTAGGAGCAAACCAAGCCTTTAGGTTGTTTCTCTTAGGTGTTTGGTCCCAGAAAAAACAAAGCAGACGCAGAGACCGATGCTGCTGCTGCTCGGGTCCTGCCACCCTCAGGGCCAACCCTGCCGCCATCTTCTACCGCCATCGCCCGCTGAGGAAAGGAAGCCGCCGTTAGCCACAGGAGGGCTGCACTGTGTGGTCTTATGGAGATGCTAGCACACCCTTGGGCCGCTCTGTGACCTGAGAGGATCCTGCAGCTCCACAGGGCAGGGATCCAAGTGTTGCCCACACATTATCTCCTCCTACGAGATTATGAGCTAAAGATACAAAAATCCCCATCACTTACAACATTCATATAAATTAGCATCAGAGCCTCCAAAACTCTTACCCTATATAACAGGGTTTGTTTGGTTTTTTTTTTTTTTTTTTTTTTAATGACACATATTTTCACCAAAGGAAAAAAAATGGAGTTTTAGGTCCTGTGTCATTAGTGGCAAGATTTCTAAGCCTACTGACATGTGTTGCATACTTTCTAATTTTGAAAACAAAGGTCAGATTCAACTTCCAAGCAGTGGGAAAGCTCTGAGAACCTGTGATGGCTGAGTCTCTCCAGCCCTGTCCTATATTCGGGGCCAATCCTGTACCTTCCCAGGAGGTTCACACAGACTTTATTAGTCACCTCTCTCCAAAATTTAATGACATCCCCATCCCAAGATTGCTTATCTCAATGAATGATACCAAGCCAGACTGTGCTTTGACCCACAAGACCTGGGGTTATCTGCTGTCATTTGATGTCAGCTACAGCTTTGACATAGAGGCTGGGGTCCTGAGCGTGTGGACACACTCCATCACCAGCCTCGTGGCCTCCAGAGCAGAGCCCCAGTGCACTGAGATACCCCCACTCCCATGGCCATAGTTGTGGACCACAGGCAACCTGTGCTCCCCCTGGACCAGGACCTCCTTCTCCAGACGCACACCTGGCCTGCTGGGCCTCAGGCCCACTTTCTCTTTTATGTCGAAGGCCCTGCAGAGAGAAGGCTCAAGAGCGCAGCACCGCAAAAAAATCTCCCTGCTGAGTCCCGCATCTGGAAACAGATTCCAGTCTCCTTTTTGTCTGGTTCCTCCCAGGATCACATAGGACGCACCGGGGTAGACATACGTCAGCCCACCTCCGTCTCGGATGAAATGCTTCACCCAGGGGGCCTGTACCTGGAGCAACTGGCCCTTTACCGGGGAAATCATGGAGTCACCCACAAGTTGTTGGCTTCCCAGGCCTGAGCAATTGACCACGATATCAAAGGACGGCTGCAGCTCCCACAGATCTTCTATTCTCCTGGTGAGCAGCAGACCTCCATTTCCCTTTATCCTGGGAAAGAGAGACCGGGTGAGCCTCGGTAGCCACCTCCCACCCACTCCCCAGCAACGAAGGGCAGGAGGACAGAACAGCAGGCTCTCAGGAGCTGCCCCGCCTCCCTGCATCACAGCCTAGCTCCATCCTTGGCCAGCGGAGACTCCTGTGGTTAATCCTAAATGAAGCCTTCTTCTGGAAACCCAAAACAAAGAAAATCATATGTCCTCGCTCCTATAACATGTCACAGAGTTCCTTTATGTATATGCAAAATAAATACCAAGTTAATCTGTGCTCTAAACAACACCCAAGCAGCTCTTGTTCAGACACTACTCCCTCCTCGTTGCGTCAGAGGCTGTTAATTCTTGCATGTGCCCTTGTATTAGTCAGCACTCTCCAGTAAGTGGTTGCTCGTATTCTCTCTGTGTGTCTTTCTGTCTCTCTGTCTCTCTCTGTGTGTGTATCTATTGTCCGTCTCTCTTTGTCACACACACACACACACACACACACACACACACAAGGGAGGATGTTTTCACAAAAGGAACAATCTAGACAGCTGATAGAATAAATGAGAGCTGATTTTTGGACCAAATAGTTTACTAATGTGAAGAAATAGCTCAGCCAAGCCTTGTAATCATTGTTAAACTGTAGGATAATATACTCAGCATAAAACCTCACCCCTTGGGCCATTTTTAGGTGGCCCAGCTCAGTGGCTCTAAGCCCACTTATGTTGTTGTGCAACCATTGCCACCTCCCATCCCAGCGACTCTTTTCATCTCGAATGTGGAAATTCTGTAGCCATTAAAAAATAATAATAATAACCACCAGTAATCTTATCATCAAAATCTTAATCCCTTGTAATCCTATAATCTTATTCCTAGGTTCTTTATAGGATACAGGGGATTTAATATAAGAAACTCTTGGCAGTTCTGTTCAACGGATGCAGGTTGGTAACCAAGAAGCAAAACATTACTAAGAGGGACAATACTGTAAGACACAGTGCCCTTCATGAAGGGCCAGAAAAAAAGAACTGGGAGATGGTGTAGATAGCTGGAAGAGTGAAGTTTTAGCACAGAGATATGTGCATATGTACATGTATGTGCATGTCCATGTATGAGACACATGTATGAGAGTGCACACAGACACACGTGAACACACAGCTGGCTCCATCTCTGGAGAACTCGGACAAATAGCGTGGTACTGCATCTGTCTCCCTGCCTGCTGTCACTCAAGCACCCTCCTGAGAGAAAAGGGGAAGACAAAGCTGACAGCAGAGACAGACCTCCCTGCCTCTGAGAGAGCGGAAGATCCCCTTCCAAGCCAGAGGAACAAAGGAAAGCACACGGGAAGTCGAAACTTCTGGACGTGGTGTGAAGACACGGCCAGAAGGTAACTGAAGGCCTAGTTTCACCAGTGATCTTACCTCAACAGGAACAGAAGCTGACATTCTGCTCGCACTTCCTAGCTGGAAAGTTTAACTGAAACTTGCATTAAGATCTGCAAGGAACTGACCTTTTGACACTGGTCCCTTTTCTAGAAAATGCCACACGTAGAGGAGAGTGCAAGAGAGCATTGCTGCTACCCAGCATCACAGACCTGATGGCTGTCTTCCCTGCAGCTTAGCAGAGGGTCACCGGTAGATAGCCAGCCTCTCAGCCCCCACGGTGGGGACCCCTCCCATATCACCACTGAGCAAGTCCAAGGACAGCTGTAAACCTCTGGGTTTGATTCATGTGTTATATGTTAAATATTTACAGAAGGTCCAGCTGTGCTAAGCCTTCAATAATTTGAACCCAGGGTGTACTTTCCATTCAGTCCAAGAGGTTTTTTTTAATTATTTTTTTTATTAATTACAGTTTATTCACTTTGTATTCCAACTGTAGCCCCCTTCCTCATCCCCTCCCAATCCTACTCTCCTTCCCTCTTCTCCCTTTATGCCTCTCCCCCAGTCCATCTGGTCCTCCTCCCCTTCCATCTGACCCTAGCCTATCAGGTCTCATCAAGAGTAACTGCATTGTCTTCCTCTGTGGCCTGGTAAGGCTGCTCCCCCTCAGAGGGAGGTGATCAAAGAGCAGGCCACTGAGTTCATGTCATAGACAGTCTCTGTACCCCTTACTAGGAAACCCACTTGGACATTGAGCTGCCATGGGCTACATCTGCACAGGGGTTCTAGGTTATCTCCATGCATGGTCCTTGGTTGGAGTAACAGTCTCAGAAAAGACCCCTGTGCTCAGATGTGTTTTCTTCTCATTGTGGAGCTCCTGACCCTCCAGGTCTTTCTATCTCCTCCTTCTTTCATAAGATTCCCTGCACTCTGCCAAAACTTGGGCTATGAGTCTCAGCATCTGCTTCCATACATCCTGCTAGGTAGAGTCTTTCAGAGGTCCTCTGTGGTGGGCTCCTGTCCTGTTCCCTATCTTCCCCTACTTTCAATGTCTATCCTGTTTGCCCTTCTGAATAAGAATTAACCTTCTTCCCTAGGGTCCTCCTTATTGTTTAGCTTCTTTAGGTCTGTAGATTTTAATATGTTTATTCTCTATTGTATGTCTAATATCCACTTATAAGTGAGTATATACCATGTGTGTCTTTCTGCTTTCGGGATACCTCACTCAGGATGATCTTTTCTAGTTCCCACCATTTGCCTACAAATTTCATGATTTCCTTGTTTTTAATTGCTGAGTAGTATTCCATTGTGTGAATGTACCACAATTTCTGTATCCATTCCCCCGTTGAGGGACATTTGGGTTGTTTCCAGCTTCTGGCTTAAAGAAATGCTCAACATCCTTAGCTATCAGGGAAATGCAAATCAAAACGACCCTGAGATTTCACCTTACACCCATCAGAATGGCCAAGGTCAAAAACTCAAGTGACAACATATGCTGGAGAGCATGTGGAGAAAGGAGAACCCTCCTCCATTGCTGGTGGGAATGTTTTAAGCACTATGTACCCTTGCTTGTTATTCAGAAAACTAATGGAAAGCAATGGTATTTACCCAGGACAAGAAAACCAAAGACACTGTCAAGCATCTTCATGGGACCACAAACAACCAATGAAAACCTTTCGTGTGACAGAGTGATTGAAAGGAGTGAGGCCAGAACTTTTATTTACTTATTTATTCTATGTACCTCGATTTCCACTCTCTCCATGGAACAATATGGAAGCTGAGATTACATTCATTGGATGGACACTGGGCTGTTTTTAAAAGTGAAATCGGGCATAACCCTGCCACAGAAAGAAGAGTAAAGGGGTGTGCTGGGGTCGGCCTGGTGTCATTTATTCAAACGTTGACTTCAGTGCCTTGAGATCTGGTTACCACGCTGCCGTGGACATTGTTGTTAATGATGAACTATCTCCTGCATCCCTGCCATGAGAAGGAAAGCATCTCTGGTTGGCTGATTAAAAGGCCCACACCTGGGCAGGGCAGAAGATGGTAGGCATGGCTAAGGTTCTTGGGCTTTGGGGAGGCAAGGGTCTTGGGAAGGAGACAAGTACAGGAGGAGGAGGAAGAAGGGAGAAGCAGGACACCGCCATGGGTTAGCGTGGGAGAAGCACATGGCATATCAGCACGGATGGAAGAAATTGGCCCAAATGAAGAACATCAGCAAGTATTTTGGGATTCTGGATGGGAGGTCTCCCAGATAGGAAGGATTAAAGCAGATGGCCTGGGATAGGGGCTGAGTAGTGGTAAGGAGAGTTTAGAGGGCTAACATCTGCTGTGCCCCAGGTGAAATCAGGCTGTTCTAAAAATCTATCTGGTATCTGTGTCATTTATTGATTGTGATAGATAATTCCACCATATTAATTATAAGGCTAATAATAAACATTATTAGCCCAATACCCTTTATTTTCTGCAACATGAGTGTTTTGTGGTAACACTAACCAGGATGTTTGTACTGTTTGTGATGTTTAAGAAGTAAACACGAACACCACAGAAAGATGGAGTAGAAAGAATGTCAGAGCCAGAAGGTGGGGAGGAAAGCGGGGGCGGGGAGGAGAATATGTCTTCTGGACATCATATAGCTGATGAAATCATGAACTCGCAGCAGCTGTTATGATCTGAAAAGGACCTTCACAGACTGGGTCCATCAACATTTCATCACGAATGGGGAGGGACTCATGAGGCCCCACCCTTCCCTTGTTAGCTGCTGGAGGAGGAAGTGTCGTTTATTTCAGCAGTGTAGCCACTGATAATTTGCCGGAGTCCCAGTAAGTAAGTAATCCCCCACCCACGTTCTGCAAGTAACCCTAATGTTAACTCAATGGGTCACAAAAAAAGAAAAAAATTACACAAAAATAGGACAGGAGCTATCTGGAAGAAAGGTGAGCTGCTTTGTCTTTTGGTTTGGTTTGGTTTGGTTTGGTTTGGTTTGGTTTGGTTTGGTTTGGTTTGGTTTGGTTTGGTTTGGTTTTTTGTCAACTTGACACAAGCTAGAGTTATCTGAAAAGTAAAAAAAAAAAAAACCCTCAATTGAGAAAATGCCCCCAACAAACTGGCCAGTTGGCAAGCCTGTGGGGCATTTTCTTGAATGCCGATTGACATGCCCTGCCCAAGTTTCTTTGGCCATGTTGTTTTTATCACATCAATAGGACAAAGGAGGGAGGGGGGTGAGAGAGGCTAATGAGGGCTGGGAACAACTAAAATGCATTATATCAATGCATGAAACCGTCAACGACTGCAAGCAAGCACCAAGTGAAGATTTGGGGAGCGGGGCCACCCACCCCTTGCTGTCCCGATAGCCTGTTGAGCTAGTCAACTTCCCTGAGCTCCTGCCCTTCCCTTCCTCCATATTGCTGTGAGCCAACCTCATGAGCTCATTGGGAAAATGAAAGAGGGCAGCATCTGGAGCAGGGCCGGCAAAGGTGTGGCGCCCCGTGGCTGCAGTTGCTTTCCTAGAAAAATAAGAAGGGCCAACGGTTCATCCACACTGTAAAACACTAGCCCCACACTGTGGCCTGTGGGTAGACCTGCTCCCCATCTGTGTGTCGCTTACATTTAACTGTGACCATATAGACTCTTTAAAGGTCCTAACTGGTTGTTCTTTTTAAACACTATCTTGGTTTGGTTTGGTTTTTCTTTTAATAGACTGTGGGGTTCCATGTGCCAGTCTTTGAACATTATGTTCTGTGCTCAGCCATTCTAACCAGAGCTCAGGGTTGTTTTTCTAATTCAGGGAAAGAAGTAAATTCATGAGCCTTAGGACTCATGCAACTTTCTTAAATTCACTGAACGTGTTTCCTTAACGATAGCCTAGGTTTAAGCTAGTGTCCTGCTCAAAGAGTAGTTAGGTCTATGTGAGAATTCAAATAAATGCAAATGGTCTTCTTTTCTGTTTCAACAGCCCTGGATGGAGCTACGATAAAAATCCAACATGTTGGGGACTGGAGAGATGACTCAGAGTTTAAGAGCACTGGCTGCTCTTCCAGAGGTCCTGAGTTCGATTCTCAGCACCCACATGGTGGCTCCCAACCATCTACAGTGAGATCTGGTGCCCCCTTCTGGTGTGCATGTGTACATGCAGATAGAGCACTCATATACATAATAAATAAATAAATCTTACAGTGAGGTGAGTGACGTATGGCTGGGCTTTTGGAAGGGCCGGCCAGGCTTCTGTGTTGGCTCCCTCTTGGACCTCCTTCCCAGGAGGAAACTTGCAGCACAGAGACAGGTCACCCAGTGCTGTTTGAATGTGAGCATGTGGTGCGGCCCACTCACCGTCATCCACCTCCAACAAATACAGCAAGACCCTGAAACCAGCGCTGAGGACGAAACCGTATCCCAAAAGCAGATGTTAACTTAGATGACCAGGTGCCTAAAAGTTACTTTTACAACCGTACGAAGCTGCTAGTAAAATGCTGGATCACTTTCCTCTCAGCTTCTGGCAAACGCGTGAGGGCCCATCCTGTAGAGAGCACACCCGGTGGCCCCAGAATCCATGAGGAAATGGGAGAGCACTCTACTGACTGAGAGCACTGAGTGGGACAAAGAGTCTCTGCTGGAGAAATACTGCAGAGAAGAGAGAGCAGAGACCTTTGGGTGGGGGAGGGCAGGAGGGAGGGTACAGATTTTATGAAATTCTAACAACTTGTTAGACCACCACGCTGAAAACACTGGAGCTGGTCAGAGGGATAGCCAGATCTCACCCTGACGGGAAACGTTCAGCTACACATACCTGCGGCCCTCTAACCCTTTTTTTTTTTAAGCAGCCTGAAGGTGGATCTGGTTCTGGAGGGTGGATTAGTCCTTTGGTTTTCTTCATAATGTGTCTAGACTGAATTACACTCCTTTTTTTTTTTTTTCTATTCACCATTACCTGTGTGTTTAATTGACTCACGGAGGATGGGGCCAAACCTGGTTTATTAGGGATGCCAGCAGCTCTGACCCTAACTGTCTGAAGGAGGACATCTGGACATCTCTCTTGGCACGCAGTCAACTCTCCTCTCACCGGAGAATGAGTAGAGGTGACTCCGGCGGGGTCTTTAAAGTCAGTCAGAATGAGTGTTTAGTCACCGTGTGAAAACAGGTTGGAGTGGAGAGGTGAGAGGCTTGGAAGACACACTGAAGAGGGGGGAGGATGGCCAGATCAAGGACGAGAGCTGTTTTGGGATTGTCGTGTATATGCACTGTTAGTCGGCTCTCAAGATGGCTGCCCACCATCAACGGGGGGGGGGGGGGGGGGATCAACTATGTTCAGTCAATATGTTCAAAAAAAACAAGAAGAAGCCTAGTTTAAATTTTCAAGTCTCTGCATACAGATTTACAGGGGAACCCAGTTTTCTCCTAGCAACACTTCCTATCGCTATGCCTGACATACATTGGAGCTTTATAGTGTATTTTGGGTTTACAAGGCTGCCAAGTGCATACAGTCTAATTCTGCCCTGACAACATTCGCTGGCTGCTGACAGTTGCCATCACCAACACCCTCACAATGAACTGGGTCCATCCCAGTCTGGCAGACTCCATGGATACATACAAGGCATGGCAAGCACGCCAGGGGTCAGGTGTAAGGCAGCCTCTGGCCCCTTGGAGGAGGGCATACGGATATGGCCCAGGGCTTCTATAGGAAGATAACCCTGAAGGGGAGCAGCCATGGTCCCTTAGTCCCTAGAGGAGGAGGTGAAGATGCTTGAGGGCGATATGTGCTTCTACATGGTCTAGGAAATGGCAGGCGACAAGCAGATGGGAGAGCACGAAGAATATCAGAAAAACTGGGGGAGTCAAGGCCTGTCCAGAAAAAGCAACAGAGATGGAAGCCAACAGCGCGGGCAGGGCAGGGAAATCAGTGCTGTGTCCGGCGTGGGCCTCCTCGGAGCCATGGAAAGAAATCAGCCGTGTAAAGTATAGGCCTCCAGCACTGATAGGGACCACCAGGCTTTCTAGATGTCAGCAAATGCAGGGTGACTCTGGTCCCCGCAGAATAATTTATTTAGGTAGGCTGCCTGGCAGGGGACTTATCGCCTCTGCGATTCATTTCCTGGGATGGCAAGCAAAACAAAAAACAAACAAAAAAAAAACCAAACAGCCAAGTATGCAGCCTTACAGTCCCAAGATATAAAGTATCACCTTCATGGGTGATTAAATCTCTGAGGGTTTTTTTTTTTTTTTTTTTTGGGGGGGGGCGGTGCTGTTCTAGATATTACTGGGCAATGTTTGAGAAAAAGATGATCTTGTCCGCTCTTGGAAAAAATGAACGGTCTAAATTATAATAAGATAATATATGTTTCCTGGGTTGTCATCTCCTAGCTGGCGCTGAGGCTGAAGCCGCTGCTGAGAGGAATGTTCCCTTTTGAATCAGGACACAGAAGGCAGAGCTCACACTGCGGCGAAGAGGCGTAGGAGGCAACAGAACAGGCCCACGTCTGAGGAACAGCAGGGACTGCGTGGCTGCCCATCTGGGCCTGCCCAGCCCACAGACTGAGCCCCAGATGTCCTCTTCCCTCGCCGTGGGGGCATTGCCCCTCTTCCCTCCAGCCTAAAGGGCTCCTCTTGGGCTTGGGCTGCGACAGGCCCTGCCTTGTTCCACAAAGCCTTTCTTCCAGGTTAGAAAAGGGGACAGGTGGCCCTTGTCACCCACCATATCGGCCAACTGGCCAGACGCCAGGCTCATTAGGTATATTAAAAAAAAAAAAAAAAAAAAGACAACTAAACTTCAAAATACCGCTGGTCCCAAACATTTTAGATACAGGTTATTTACCAGATTTGGGGGTTGACAGCACTTACGTTGTACGATCCCCACATCCCCAACCCACAGGAGCATGCAATGTGGAGCAAACCAGCAAGAGATTTATAGATGTGTCTCAACCAAAAACACTCGTGAATCCTAACAAGCTAGAAAAAGGCAGTGCTGAAAACCAAGCCAAAACGAAAGGGCAAAGGTTTAAGGGCGAGATTTTAAGGAAGCCTTACGTACTTTAGATAAGCCCTCCACTTTCATGTTCTCGTTCATAACCACGTTAGCGAATTTATAATAACAATGAAGCTACTTTTAGTGAAAATGAGAAAAACTCAACAATAATTGGGATGAGAAAAACCTAAGGCTTTTCCTGCATTATCCGAGCGTCTCCATTTTCTGAACGAGCAAACTGAGATTTTCCGTCGTTGGCTTCTCTCTGAAGGAATGGGGACAAGTAAGGCAACAAGTTGCCGTGAGCGAGCGTGGTGCGGACTTAGTCCTCGCCCCGTGACCAACATCAGCCGCTTCCACTTCCACGGGGCCCTGGCGGTTTGGGAGCCCCGGCGAGCCTCCTGCGCGCTCAGTGCACAGCTGTGCCATCATTAATCGCCGTGTCGAACCCGGGGCGACCCGAAGACACTGCCACCAACCTTTTCTCCAACCCGGGGCGACCCGAAGACACTGCCACCAACCTTTTCTCCAGCCACGGCAGGTAGGCAGACGTCTCGCATTTCAGGGTTGTGAAAGCCTGACCAAACACGTACTGAGGGAACCGCTTCAGCTCGGCCTCCGTCATCTTGCGAAATCCCAGGACCACGTCAGCCCAGAAAGGCACCTCCTCCGCGGGGACACTCCGGAACACCTGCCACCTGCAGCGCCCCAAGCAGAAAAGGCTCCGTAAGTTAAGTCCATATAAACTCCCTAAAGCATTTTAAAACTTCACTTCCTAACAGACACGAAGAGAAGATCAGTCCTTCCCATCTCTCGGGTCCGGATAACTGAGTGGCTGGACATCAGAGATTCTGCCCTGAGGGAGTCAGAGCTTTGGGGGGCACCCGCGGGCTGGGGGTTTCTCATTGGTGGACGCCCACCTAGCGTGCACCGGGTCAGATTTCAGATCCCCGGCGTCACAAAAAACAAAAATAGTGTGTGTTTTTAAAAAGCTAAATTAAATTGACTTTTCTGAGATATTTTTGCCACAATTTCCTCTTATTTACAGGTGACTATTATTTCAGAGGGAAAGTTTTTTAATGTTTTGCACCGCTTCACATGAAGAAGAAAAGGAAAATGTGAGGAACTCGAAGGTTAGCCTTGATTTTGAACATTTATTTTTTCGGGTTCTTTTGTTGTTGTTGTTGTTGTTTGTTTGTTTGTTTTGGGCTTTTTTTGGTTTTGGTTTTGTTTTTCAAGATAGGGTTTCTCTGTGTAGCCTCGGCTGTCCTGGACTAGCTTTGTAGATCATGCTGGCCTCAAACCCAGTTCGAGTTCGGCCTGCCTCTGCCTCCCGAGTGCTGGGATTACAGGCTTGTGCTAATAAGAGTCCTCCTCCTTGATCTCCACTTTCCTACACCATTAACTTCTGTTGTTGTTTGGTTTGGTTTTTGAGACAGGGTCTCTCCCCGTGTAGCTCTGGCTGTTTTGGAAACCACCCTGTAGACCAGGCTGGCCTCAAATTCACAGAGATCCACCTTCCTCTAGCTCCAGAGTGCTGGGATTGAACGCTCCATCACCTGGCTTAACTATTTAAACCTTATCAAATCTCCTCTTAGTCATTTCTCAGAGCTATTCACTCCATTTCTTTCCTTTTCTTTTTGTTTTGTTTTTATTTTTGTTTTTCGAGGCAGGGTCTCTCTGTATAACCTTGGTTGTGCTGGAATTTGTTCTGTAGACCAGGATGGTCTGTAGACAAAGATTCCCCTGGCTCTGCCTCCTGAATACTGAATTAAAGGCACTTTCAATGTATCCTGCTAGCATCTCTCCTCCAATTTAGTCTCTACAGTACAGATAAAATGCCTTTTCAATGCAAATATGAACAGTTACCCCGATGTGTAAAATCCCCCAGTAACTTCTCAATACCATGGACTTACTTGAGTCCTTCAATATAATGCCTGAGACTGGCCAGTGCGCACGCGTGTGTGTGTGTGAGCGTGTGTGTGTGTGTGTGCGCTGTCTTCTCTGCCTAGAACTGTCTCTCAAAGGAATCACCTTTTCCTACATGGCTTCTGACGTGTTTCTGGAGCAAATTTCTTCTCTAGGCACAAGTCTCTCCATGGCTCTCTGTTTTGCAGTCTCTGGTAACTGATGCCTCTCCCCAGAGGCCCCAGCCACCTGAGGACAGAACTGTGTCTGTCTTCTGTAAAATTCACTCCACACATATTTATTAAGCATTTACTATATGTGAAATTCTTCATTGCCACATCCCCGAGACCTGGAAGACCAGCTGTAGAGAATGCTGCCAAAATTCTTCGTGAAGGAATGAACTGGAGATTAAGGTTATACTGAAGACACGCAGGACGTGTGTAAAGCCTCAATTCCCAAAGGAAAGCATATCGGAACATGTCTGTTTCTAAACATTAGTTACACACAATGTTGGTGAATCCCTATTGGTTTTGGAACAAGTTAAGCATGATTCTAGTACAGTGAACACCACGCTTCCACGTGGCTCAGTAGCTAACCTTGGAGGGAGAGAGAGTAGGTCCAGCCATTGAAAAAATAAAAATAAAAAGTCCATGGCAACGCCTGCTATTTTGGGTAGGGGCTTTGGAAAAGTAAGGATGTCCCCGTCCATCCTGGTGGTTATCTAGTGAGGGAAGGCAAGAGAGAAAGAGTATAAGTCCTTCTGATACACAGCTATACTTCCAAGAAGTGTCTACAGAGCCTGGCATCAGAGGAGGAGGCTGGGACTTCTCCTTTCTACTGTTTATTTTTAACGTTTATTTGTTTACGGTACGTGTGTGTGTGTGTGTGTGTGTGTGTGTGTGTGTGTATGTGTGTGCGCCTCCATGAGTTTATGTTAACTGTGTGCAGGAGTCCACAGAGACCAGAGGGGACACCAGAAATCCTGGAACTGGAGTCATTATGTAGATGCTAGGAACTGGACCCGGATCCTCTGTGAAAGTAGAAAATGCTCTTAATCACTGAGCCATCTCTCCCGTTCCAACACTTGTACTTTTTAAATAGCCTTAATGGCATGAAGATAGACTGGGACTTAAAAATGTCCCTCTACTGTCCAGAGGACTGTGCTAACACATAGAATAACATAGGTGACAAATGCCCTTTGTCATTTGATGACACTGTGACCTAAATTAAAGATGCGAGAGCACTGTGTAATCTCTGCTTAGGAAAATATAAGATGAAGTCATTATGTTTTAAGTGCTGCTTGTGTTAGAAATGCTAAATTGGACGTGTCATCAAACCCCACTTAATCATGCATTTCCTCCAAATCAGATGTTAACAATCAAATAGAAAGGTGTTAATCATTTCAGAAACACTATTTTCCAAATGACACTTTGAGGGATAATTTTAGGGCTGGAAATATAGCTCAATGGTAGAGCTCTTGCCTTGTATGTACGAGGCCCTAAGCTCAATTTCCAACAATACCTCTCTGGCTAAAAGCAACTCTAGTGATGAATGTACAGGCCGTACTTTGGGGGAGGCCACCTCATTTTCTAATGATTCTCAAATAAGACAGCCCTCGAGGTCTCTGTACCCATCCTAGTGTCACACCTCTTTCCTCTCCATCAGCTGCGCCACACTCCACATACCACACACCCAAACTCGGTGTCTATTTGCCATTACGGATCTTTGCTTATTGTTCTCCATTTCTCAAACCACTTCGCATCCTGAAGTCTTTCCTAAATCCTTCTTCATACTGGTATGTTCTGCCGGCCTCTGATATCTGTGATGTTCTAAAGTCTACAAGGACTTCAGATCCCTCTTCTTACCCAGACACCAGGAGAACACCTGCATCCGAGGCTTCTGCAGACTTGGCAATTTCAGATAGGTGCTGGAAGGTCTCTCTAAACCATTGCTTCTGCACGGGCTCAGGCGTCTCTGGGTAGCCATGGAGAAATGCAACAGAACCCCCAGAATTAAAGTGTTGATGTGTCTATCTGACCCACTCTTGTAATGATTTACTGATGGAGGGCAAAGGACACAGGAGCCAGGAGCATGTCTCTGGCACAAAGTTATATTCTCAAAATGCTGGCCTGAGCAGAAATGAGGGTATAGCTGGGAAATCCAGCCAGGAATGTTGTTGGAACAATAGAAAGAACTGAGACACCCCATTTCTGAGGGCTGGAAATACAGTGGGTGATGAGCAGGGCCCCCAGGTCAATAAAGACATATTAGTAGCAAGACTTTTAAATAAATCACTGGTTCTAGAACAAACAAATATTTCGCTAGTATTAATTAAACATTGTCATCAAGGAAAAGCGTGTCCATGTGAGTGTGCCACACTCTTCCAAAACTGCAGGCAGGCTGCTTGTTTAGAGATAAAGAAGAAATAATGGATGTGCTGCAGAATTCTGTTAGACCTCAATGGACTGTCCTCCAGTGACTTAGTTCAGTGTGGAGAGCTGATTTCATATACATCCTAGTGTTCCTGCCCCTAAACCCTACAAGCACAATGGGGGCTGTTTGCTACAGAAATCATCCCCAAATAACAGACAGTTCCAACTCAGTTGTGGATGGAGCAAGCGTGATGACCTAATTCCTATTCGAGTGCTGGTCAAACAGAACTGTAGTAACCAGAGCGGCAGAAACAATTGCAAACACAGACAGAGACTGGTCCTGTGTGGGGCACCATTTTGAACTCTGAATAATAGCACATTTAACCTTCAGAAGAGCCTGCCGGACAGGTGTGGAGCAGGAAGTATCTACGACTGGGGCTAGTCTGAATCATGTCTAAGGAAGAAGCCTGGGGAACAGAACAAGCGTTCATCTAGCAGCAGCAGAAAGACAAAGAAGCTGGTCCAGGAGACCAAGGTATTCAGCCACAGAGAGAGAGAGAGTGGAGCCCCCTGTGATTTGGATGAACCCTAAGATGAAGTGCCCTCTTTAAAGATGACTGAGGGATACCAGGCAGCCTTCAGGGTCATTCACTCAGGCCTGGTGTAAAGCAAGGGGACCCCAGGAAATGGTCTCAGGTGTAAAATTAGCATCTTGCAAATATATCCATCTCTCACCTGGATACCTGTGAGGAATAAGCATTCCAGCTGCTACATTACTGGTGGTGTCAGGTGTAAACTTGTCTGAGATGACAGTGACGGAACACCGGGGGACCGTCTCAGAAACGCACACAGCGGTAGACAGACCGATCACGCCAGCTCCGACAACTGCAATGCGCACTCTGTCCATGGCCTAAGGAGGGAAATGCAAACAGGCTTCCTTGCATAGGGTAGTTTTCTTGGCCCAGATGAAGTCTGATCCTACAACTCTTTCCTCACATCGGGCAGCCTGTCAGAACAAGACTTCCTTCTGGTGTTTCCATGGGTGAAGCCCAGCAACTCTTTAAACCCTCCTCCCAATAAATAACAGTGTGAAATATGAGATCCCCACAGGCATTTGATGCTAAAACAAAATCAGCCTAGGCTTGCCTGCCACACTCACCACCAGGAATCACATGGCATCTGGGGGTAAATTATTAGTCATGGTGCCCTGGCCTGAACTTTTCCCTAGGGGCACGTCCTAGGGAATGCTGGTGATGCAATCAAGGCCTGGAAAGCAGCTGAGCTGTGTGACCTCTGCTCCCAGGACCCACTGGAGAACAGACACGGGCATGATTTGTGCAAATCCCTTTTGAATGATAGCATCTCAGAGAGAGTGAATGATTGAAATCATCATCTCCTTCCCCATCTCTGTCTCCTCCTACTCCAGAACTCTGGGCCTGAACTGCTCCTAATTGGATAGCACGTTTTCAAAATACAGAAATCTGGGTTCCTGGCTGGACCACGCCATGGGTGGGCCTATAGCACAAAGGAATGGCCCAAGATCTGTTAGCTTCCCAGGCTCTCGTCTGAAGGCTCCACCAAGGGAATCCTTATTAGCTCACGTTAAGTGGTGAATGAGAGGCCACTGAGGCTGTCGCCCAAATAGTTCCCTTTGGGGAGGGTGTAGGGGAAATGTAGGTGCCAGATGACTGCTCTGGGCACCCGAAGACCAACATCTTGTGAGGGAGTAAAGAGAGTGGCAAAGACTTGAGTGTCCTTCCTCCTATCCCTCACCAGAGGCAGCAGGAAGCCAGTGACTCCCCACTACCCTGTCAGCCTCCTTGCCTGCCTTCATTTCTTTGTCTTACTATGTCTGCTCCCTGCCCAGCCCCCTCTGTCTAGCTCAACTCCAAATTAAGGAGAGAGAGAGAGAGAGAGAGAGAGAGAGAGAGAGAGAGAGGAAAAAAAATTTGTTTGAGTTACTTATTGCCTCACTTTGTGGGGCAAAGTTCTAACACCCAGCCAACTGTTTAGGTTGTCAGCCTAAAAACCTGCCCTTGGCACAATCCCTTCTTGCAAAATGCAGCAAGCAGGGGATCAGGTAAGGTGGCATGCGCCACAGCAGACATCAGGAAGTCTGGCTGTGGGGGGCTCTTTGCCCATTTCCTAGCTTCTTATGACACCCCCCCCCACTCTATGAGACTCTGAAGCTTCCCAGGGAGGTTTTTGTTCCTGAACTGTGTGTATTTCTGAGCAGATGAGCTGAGATGCTAACTGCCAGGGCTGAGGGAAGACAGGAGAGGGGTCCCAGCACATGACAGTTGAGCAGGGAAGTTCTGGACATGTTTCCAGGGGGTGTCATAGAAGACAGACAGCCATGCCCTTGCTCGCCACTATTTCACAGTAGCTTTGTCTGCCCAGCAGCCTTTCTCCACAGCTCTAATAAGTTAACACAAAGGTGAAAGCAATCTGTGACTAAGAATAACCGGCCTCCAGTGCAGTGGACCGAGAGCCAGATAGATATCGTGACCTGTCAATCTCTGACCCCAATCCCACCAAGATTCACCCTCAAACTCCCAGAGTGCAGACAGAATGACCCCTGAGCCAAAAGTGGGGATTCAAATACCTGTCTCTGAGAAGGAAGCCTTGTATCCGGAGACCCTGGCACCAACACTTGTTTTTCAGTGACCCGTTAGCCCGGTCTCCTAAGAGACTGGGAAAGCAAAACGCCTTCCCATTGGGGAAATTATTAAGGACGTTCTCTCTGAGCTTACTCCCCATTGGCCCAAGCAGCCGTTTCTGCCTCCGACTCCCCACGAGAGAGGAGCATGCAAGCTCCGTGGAGCTGCATCCCTGCCAAGCCTGCAAGGGACGGTTCGTCCTCCATGGCCTGTCTTTGTCTGGCTTCCAAGCATTCAGCTTGCCACCAGCCTGGAGTTTCTCCAGCTGATTTGTTTGTGTGGTAAATATCGGGTGGCCTGTCTGACTTCCAAGAAGTTCCGGCTAGAACCAAACACCTGTTTCCTCATTGCCCTGTGCAGAGTTGTCTGCCATCTCCCACTAGGTAGCTGGCTCTAGAGGCTGGGCAGCTTCAGAGGGTAGGATGAGCAGGATGTGAGACAGTGAAATGCTGCTGATAGCTGAGATGAGCTGGACAACTTGTTCAGAAAATAAGTCAGGATGAGGCAAATATTTATAGAAGGGACCAGTATTTGCTCAGTGTCAACTGTATGCAAAACACTGATCACTTGAAACTCGTTTGTTTCTAGTGAAGCAATTTGATGTGTCATAGTAGTGATAATATATTTTAGAGAGTTATTTTATATTCAAATTGCTGTGGTCTGTGGGGGTATGTGTTCATGAGTGCAGTGCCCACGGAGGCCAGAAGAGGGCATCAGATCCCCTGGAGATGGAGCTACAGGGGTTTATACATCTGATTATAGGTGCTAGCATCCAAACTCTGACCCGCTAGAAGAGCAACGAAAATTAACTGCTGAGCCATTTCTCCAGCCAGGTAATTTTAATATAATAATATTAACTATATTAATATACTAATAGAAGATTTAGCATTAGCCATGCCTGCGTCACCATGTAACATCACTGTCCTAGGTGCTGAGATAGATACTATTGTATTCTCCTCATTCTATAGAGCTATAAACTGAGGCTCCAAGAGAGTGAGGAAGAACCCATGGTCTCTTGGAATCTGAGTGGCACATTCCAGAGTCATGCTCCCAGCCAAAGCAGGGGTCCTCGCTGTCTTATACTGAGCAAGTCAGCTGCCTTCTGAGTGTGTCTCCCATCTAAAAATGGGGAGAAAGACGGTTCTCTTTGCATGTTGCTGGGAGCCTCTGGTGAGCTCAGGCAGGTAAGATTGTGTAGATGGCAGTCCAGGTGGCAAAGGGGAAAAGAAAGTGCACTTCCCTTCCTTGCCCATGGCCCACAGTCCCTCAGTCACTGAACATGGAACATTTCTGTGACTAGCAGGCTGGTTTTTCCTTTTTCTCCACACATAACCAGAAACCAACACAGCAGTTTCTGTAGAAGACACCTCATCTAGCTCAGAAGAGTTCTCTTCCAAGTTCAATTCAATTCTGGTACCTTCTACCTGGACGTGACATCCGATGCCACAGGCTGAGGGCTCAGTCCATTAGACTTGCTTTTTATCAAATGTCAGGTGCCAACCTCAGCCTTCAGGTTGTGGCCCTATGCTTTGGGCCTATCAATGGCACCACAAATCGGGGTTCCTGCGGTGCCCATGTTGGGCTCATTTCATTCGCTGCAGCACCTCACAGAACTCAGGAACGCTTAGTGTGGTATACAGGCTGCAGGTGAGGAGCCAGAAGAGAACTGCTACCCATGCCCTTTCAGACTTTTATGTAGACTTCCTTCGGTAGGGGTGACTGTTACAGCTTTGTTCTTTAAGGACTGGATCTCACTTCCCCAGACACTGAGGGAGGATACTAGGAGACTCTACCTTTCCTGATCATGCCTTGGTCTTTTCTGTAACCAGGCTCCTTCATGAAGGAGGCCCCATCAACAAGGCAATGTGTCTTTATACAGAAGACTCTCCTGTAGCTGCTGAGAGTTTTAGGAGCTATCGGAATTTTAAAATGAAAACTGAATGTACACCGCACTGTATCCCTGGTGGCGTCCATATTTATCGAGCGTGACTATAGAACCAGGAAATGTTTACAGTCCCTCTGTTGAGGAACACTGCAGAGGCTTTAAGAGAGTTAAGGATTTCTAAGGCGATGCTTTTCTCCCTTAGGTATCAGGTAGAGTAAGACAGGTCTCTAATAGCACAAAAGTAAGTGTTGTGAAAGAGAAAAAGGAATGCAAGAAGGCCCCAAGGACCACAGAGACTAGACAGACAAAGAAAAGGAAGGAGGGACATCAGAGAGTAGATGGTGTGAACCAGGGGCAGAAACTTGCACAGTGAACCACAGAGCAAAGAGTGGAGGCTATCTGAAGAAAAAAATGGGAGGCAGCTGGGGAGCTGCATACAGGAGCAGCCTGTGGAAGTGCTGGGATGCCACAGCAATGGGAGCCATGAAAGGGAGGCATTGGGCTCCCTCCTTCCGTACCTTGGCCAGGGCTCTGCTCTCCTTTAAAAATCAAGAAAAGGAAGCAATGTTTCCTAAGAAATAAAACCCAGGAGGAGAGTATAACACTGGAAGGCCCTTTATTTTCTTTATATAGAGCAATAGCAATGTGACTTGAATAAGGAGTCTTTTGGTAAACTGAGGAGAAAACCAAGTTAGATATAGCTGAAGGTGTAAGTCAAAAGGGCCCTGAGGGGCCATCTGGTGAGTCATCAGATGTAATGGCCATCTAGTGTAAGAGTTTTACAGGTGCATGGCTGAAGCCAAAGTGTTAGGACTTCCTCCTTGGAATACTTATAAGGAAACAGAGCTGATGTGCTAGAATTGGCTTCCAAGTATTACAGATACAGCGTTTTTTGTTGGTTTGTTTGTTTGTTTTTATTTTTCAAGTGTAAAATCAAAAGGCCTCACATGTTAAGGAATGCCTAAACCATGCATGGTGGCAGGCGCATTCAGTCCCAGCACTTGGGAGGCAGAGGCAGGCAGATCTCTGTAAATCTGAGACCAGCCTGGTCTACAGAGTGAGCTCCAGGACAGCCAAAGCTACACAGAAAACCGCTGTCTCAAACACGGTGGCGGAGGGATAAAGAGATGGCTCAGTAGTACATCCTAGGTCTGATTCCCAGAAACCAAATAGCTCACATCCAATAATACTGGGATCTGATGCCCTCTTCTGGCATGCAGGTGTACATGCAGGTAGAGCACTCATGTAAGTAAATAAATCTAAAACAAAGATAGAGACGCTTTTGACGTTCCGCCCCTAGATAAGGAGCTGTTGGCAACAGGCAACTACAGTGAGAGGGAGAGTTCAGGAATGCAGGCCCTGAGAGGCCCCTCATGCTCCAGTAGATGGCCCTATGTATGCCCATACACAGACTGGGAACATACGTGAACTCAAGGTGTGTAATAAAAGAAGTGAAGAAGGAAAATTGGCCAGGCGGCAGTAGTGCACACCTTTTTTCCCAGCACTTGAAAGGCGGAGGCAGGCAGATCTCTGTGAGTTCAAGGCCAGCCTGGCTACACAGAGGAACCTAT